GCTTTATTCTTTGGCATGATCGACTTGAACATCCAAGAGCTATAATAATGTGTCGAATAATAAACAATTCACATGGACATCTTTTAAAGAACCAGAAGATTCCTTTACCTAATGATTATTCATGTGTAGTTTATTCGCAAGGCAAGTTAATCACTAGACCTTTAACTACAAAAGTCAATATTGAATCTCCAACTTTTTTGAAAAGAATTCATGGAGACATATGTGGGCTAATACACCCACCATGTGGACTATATCGTTATTTTATGGTATTAATTGATTCTTATACTAGATGGTCATATGTTTGCCTACTTTCCACTAGAAATGTAGTCTTTGCTAGACTACTTGCTCAAATTATAAAATTACGAGCACAATTTTTCGATTACTCAATTAAAACTATTCGCCTTGACAATGCTGGTGAATTTAGATCACAAGCATTCAATGATTATTGTATGTCAATCGGGATTGTAATTGAATATCCAATTGCGCATATTCATACACAAAATGGTTTGACAAAGTCATTTATTAAACGTCTACAACTTACTGTTAGACCATTACTTATGAAAACAAAACTCCTAGCTTCTATTTGGGATCATGTCATATTATATGCTGCATCATTTGTTTGTATTAGACCAACTGTCTATTATCGATATTCACCTTTGCAACCGACATTTGATTATGAACCTGATATTTCTCACCTACAGGTCTTTGGTATTGCTATCCAAATCCCTATTTCCCCCCCCCCCTCCCCCCCACAACGTACTAAAATGAGTCCCCAATGAAAACTTAGAATTTATGTGGATTTTGATTCACCATCAATTATTAGGTATCTTGAGCTTTTAACGGGTAACTTATTTACTACACGTTTTGCATATTGTCATTTTGATGAAATGACTTTCCCAACTTTAGGAGGGGAAATATTACATCCTGAAAAATAAGGTAAAATTACTTGGAATGAAGCAACTCTATCTCATTTTGTTCCCCACAGCAATCAATGTGAGCAAGAGGTTGAAAAAATCATTCATTTGTAAAGAGTTGTAAATCAATTACCCGATATATTTGTTGACGCAAGAAAAGTGACAAAGTCATATGTGCAAGCAGAAAATATTTCAGCAAAAATTAATGTCCCTATAGGACAATCAGCTGTAGCAAATGAATCTAAAATATGCTAGAATCGTGGTCAACCAGTTGGTTCAAAAGACTCTGTACCTCAAAAAAAAGGTACATGAGAAAAATCAATCAAAAATTTCAGAAGAAATCACATTAGAAAAGATTGATCAATCAAATATTGAAAATACGGTTCTTAAAGAACCACGAGTATCCGACAATAATGAGATTTCAATAAATTATATATTATCTCATAAATTATGAGAACGAAATAATGTTGTTATAGACAATATTTTCACCTTTAATGTGGCTCTTGATATTATACAAAATGAGGATCCTGAACCACAATCATTTAAAGACTGTCAAAATAGAAATGATTGGCCAAAATGAAAAGAAGTCATACATGCAGAATTGAATTCCTTGGAGAAACGAAAAGTGTTTGAACCTGTAGTTCGAACACTTGAAATTGTAATCCCTATTGGATACAAATGAGTTTTTGTACGAAAGAGGAATGAAAATAATGAAATTACAAGGTACAAAGTCCGACTAATAACTCAAGGTTTCTCACAAAGACCAAAAATTGATTACGAAGAAACATATTCTCCTGTAATAGACACTATCACTTTTAGATTTTTAATTAGTTTGACTGTGTCACAAAAGTTTGATATGTGCCTTACGGATGTAGTAACTGCATATTTGTATGGTTCACTTGATAGTGACATATATATGAAAGTCCCTGAACAACTGAAGGTGCCAGGAATAAACGATACATGCCCGAGAACCATGTTCTCAATTAAATTGTAAAAATCATTATATGGTTAAAACGGTTCGAACACGTGGTATAATCGCTTTAGCAAATATTTGTTGAATAAGGGTTATAAAAAGGACGATATCTGTCCATATGTTTTCATAAAGAAAATAAATAGTGGATTTACAATTGTGGCAGTTTATGTTGATTTAAATTTAATTGAAACTCCTGAAAAGCTCAACAAAACTGCTGATTATTTGAAAAATGATTTTTAGATGAAGAATTTGTGAAAAACCAAATTTTATCTTGGATTGTAGATTGAACATTTCGCAGATGAATTATTTGTTCATTAGTCTACGTATACAAAAAAAGTTTTAAAACGTTTTTACATGGATAATGCACATCCATTGGCATTACCCATGGTTGTTTGATCACTTGATGTGAAAAAAGATCCATTTTGTCCACTTGAAGATGGAGAAAAAATTCTTGATCCTGAAGTACCATATCTTAGTACAATTAGAGCATTAACTTATCTTGCAAATTACACTCGACCCGACATAGTTTTTTCTGTAAATCTCCTTGCAAGATATAACTTTATACTAACTCAAATACATTGGAATGGTGTTAAATATATTTTTCGTTACTGAAAGGGTACCATTGATTTGAGATTATTTTATTCTCAAAAGTCGGGATCTACTTTAGTGGGATATGCAGATGTATGTTATCTATCCGATCCACATAAAGCTAAATCACAAATAGGTTATGTATTTACACATGGATGAATAGTTATATCATGAAGATCTGTGAAGTAATCATTGACAGCTACATCTTCAAATCATTTTGAAATTATTGCAATCCATGAAACAGACCGAGAATGTGTGCGGTTGAGAAACATGACTCATCATATCCAAGTATCATGCAGATTAACTTCAACAAAGGATAGTCCAACAATTTTGTATGAAGACAATGCAGCTTGTATTGCACAACTCAGAGGATGATATATCAAAGGTAACAGAACAAAGTATATTTCTCCAAAATTCTTTCATATATATGAGCTTCAAAAGAATGACGACATCGATATCCAGCAAGTTCGTTCAAGTGACAATGTGACTGATCTATTCACAAAAGCACTTCCAACATCTGCGTTCAAGAAATTAGTTCATGAGATTGGAATGCGACGACTCAAAGATTTTCAGTGATCAACATCAGGGAGAGTAGTTGTACCCTTTTTCCTTCGCTTAGATTTTGTTCCACTGGATTTTCTTAACAAGGTTTTAATGGGGCAGTATTTATTTTTAGTACTCCAAAATAACTGTACTCTTTTTCTTCATTTTGATTTTTTTTCCATCGAATTTTTATCAAACAAGGTTTTAACGAGAGAGATATTTTGTAATATGTCATTTAAAGGGGAGTGTTGTAAAATGAAAGTTTATTAGTATTTAGAGGTAAATGACAATTATACTCCTACAGCCTTAGAAATAATTACCGTTGTATCTCTGATTCTGTCATATAAATATAGAGCTTTGGTTTATAGTAAAATACACAAGTCTATTGTCTTCTCTCTGTTCTCTTCTTTTTTTCTTCATTTTTATGACAATTAGAAATTTTTAACACAAATAAAGTGAAATATGGTGAAGTTGTACCACCCTACCTTTCATCACAAAATTAATAAAATGTATAGATTTCCTATAATTATTAAAAAAAAAAAAATTGCCATTGTTTTCATCACCAAAGATTGTTTTATAACTAGAGAAGTAGAATGTTAGTTGAAACACACTTACGAATGAGTCAAACCTAATAAAGTAATTTATTAATAAATCACTTAAATTGAAAATTTTATTTTTAGGATTATTATCTTATCCAAGAAATGTCAGCAATTGGGTGTAACACGCTAATGTCTTCACGTTGGTGGCGCATTGGGTGACACAATTTGACAGTGTGCATACTGTCACGTGACATGCGCGTGCACACCCCACCAAACACAACAGTAAATTCAGTAATATTTATTTTACAAATATCAATGTGATACAGTGTCAAACACAACTTTTCCTACTGTACACTTCTAAAAATGTAATCATGTCTCTGCACAACCAATGTCACACCTTGTCTCCCTACACTGTAAAATTATAGCTTAAGCTGACCATAGTGCCTGGTCCTTGCCCGCCACATTTCATGTAACTAAAATACAGAGGAATAAAGCTTCCTGCACATAAGCTTTTTGACAAAAGGGATGATATATAATACTTGTGATAATATTACATTGATTAGTTTGAAATTGTTTTATGTCCAACGTTCATTGAATGTTTGTCAGCTGGCTATCTGTCAATCTATCTACATAATTTTTCTGTAAATGTAGCAAAATTGAATATAGAGTAATATGAAAATAAATTTTAATTTGAAGTTATAACTGGCTAGTGATGATTTTAACGAATTTGGGTTGTTAGTTCTAGAAAGGTGGCATGATTAGTGGGAGAGGAAGGATCGGAAACAAAAGAATCACATTGATACACACTATACGTACAATATCTTCCGACTATCTCAAAGTCGTCCGACCATAGCATATCCACCAATGAACATAGTAAAAAGTGGTGCAAGCAAGTGGGGGAAGATGTATTTTTGAATAATATATTGATGAAAAATGTGTGATTACAAAATAAAAATAAAAAATTAATTTACATATAATATTATTTAATTGAAGAATGTGTTATTGAGATGATGTCAAATCACGCTATTTAGAAATACATATATTTTTTAAAAAAAATGTGGCTCGCTAATTTTTAGAATTTCATATTTAGAAAGTGCATTTGCATAAAGTCATATAAAACTAACTTTTTCTAAAAACCCTTTTAACTTTAAAAAAAATCACTTTCATACAGTCTATTTCAGTATCAACTTTTGAATCTCAAAAATTCTTTTCGACTTCTCAAAAATCATGTCAAACAAGCCCTTAATATTATTTTTTTAGGTACTTACAAATTATGAATTTACAAAATTCCTGAATAATAAAGTGTATTTATAATTTTCTTTCGCAGTGCTTGTCTAATTTGACCATTAACACCATAGTCAAGAATTTACACGTATTGGAGACAAATTACCAAAATATGGAGACGAGAGAAATTTTTAGCATATCCGCAAATAGTCAAATATACAAGACAAAGTTGAACTGAATAGATTAATATATTAAAATCAGTTCAGAAACATAGGGAACAATTAATTAACAAAAGCCCATAACTGGAGGAATAGTTGAAAAGGGAAAACAACACCTTAACAACCAACCTGGCAACTAAAAAAAAAACAACCCCACAACTGAATAAAGTCAAAAATACTAGTTCAACACGAGGATTTCAGAATTTCCCATTTACATAATTGAACAACTATTTGCGTTCTCTTCACTGAACATATGAGTAGCAGAATGATCACCATTGAAGCCAGTATCACTGTAAGTATATGCAACTGGCTCATAATTGTAGTAATAACCAGTGCTTGGAGGAATGAAAGGAGACCTGTTGTACATCATCTGAGGCTGTTGCAAGGCATGCCTATTTTGCAGGTTCATCAGTGATGATGGATTGTTGAATTGTTGATAGCCATTCATGCTCATCATCGTTGATGAAGGTTTATGTCCTGTTGCTAAGCCATTTATGGGCAAGCCAGCAGAACCTTGGTAAAAATTGTTGGGTTGAACTTGAAATGCTCCTCCTCCAACAACATTGGAATTGGGGGGTCCAAGAACAGATGCAGCAACATTAGTAGCCCCATTTCCATGAAAACCAGCAAGATTCATCATACCGTTCAAATCATTTCCCCTTTTGACTTCAGCAGGAATGGCATTTGCACCACCAGTACCTCCCATCTGTGCATTTTTAAGGGCTGCAAGTTGATTTGCCTTCATTTGAACATTGGGATTAGGATTTCCTTTTTTTCCACCATTCCCATTTGCAGCATTGTTAATCTTCCCATTGTTTGAAGCTCCAGCCATGGCAGCCACAGCACCTTTCTTTGCATTAACTTCACCCTGTTGCTTGAGCATAGTCAGTAGGTTTAATTTATCCCTTATAAGCTGCTGCATTTCCTCCTCTTCATCATATTCTTCCTCCTCATCATCAAGACACTCTTCATCTTCTTCAGATAAAAAGGGAAATTTCTGCTGGTTCTTGAGAGATTCAAGAGCCTTCATCATATCTTGCTTTTGCCCTTTTTTGTCTTTATCCTCTTTGATGCAGTTAACTTTCTGTTTCTGGTTTTGGTTAGGTTTTTGAGACCAAAGTTCAGCATATTTACCAGCTTTAACCAGCTTCTTAATTAGAGTTGCAGGAGCAACACTCCCTGAAACAGTAACCTTTTGTAGCTCTGCATCTATGTTGACTTGGTAAACTCCTGTGAGTCAAAGATGAATCATTCGCAGATAATGCAGCAAAAAGAGTATATTTTTAGCCCATAAAACAGACAAAACTTGGAAAATGTTAAAATGCTATAGCAAAGGCGCTAAAGAGAGAGGACCTTCAATTCTTTGTAAGAGTTTCTTCACTTTGTGCTTACACCCATCACAGTGAATGTTCACTCTCAGAACACAGTTCTGCAACCAAAAAAAAAAAATCAAAAAGGAAAAAGAAGGGATTTTTAGGGAAAGCCCATAACATAGTTTTACTGTACATACATAAAAATAATATACACTGATGTATAAGGGTCTAAAGAAAAACAGGTGTTACAGAGAAAGAAAATACCTGGATCTTGAGAAGCTTAAAGTCTTCATCTTTAGTCATTTCTTGAGTGTAGTTTGGAAATGCAATATCTGCTACAAAAGGAAATAAAGAAATTATAAAGAACACACTGCCTAAGCTAGTGGGGATAAAGGGGGTTTTGGTTGTACAGAGTCTTCAATCTTTTAACCTTTTTTACTCTTCTTCCTATTCAGTTTCTCTCAGAAACAAACAAAGAAAATGCACATGGGGCGTGGGGATTAAAGCATTTAAAAAGGGGAAGGAGGTGTGCTGACAAAATGCAAATTCAAATAAAGAAATACAAATTCACAAAATGCAGAAAAAGATAAGTTAATGAGCAAGAAATGAAATGAAAGTCAGAATATTGAGAAGAGTAAAAAGTGGGAGAAAGAAGAGCCGGAGTAGTGTGTTTTTTTCTCTGATTCTCAAATGATATGATGTGATTTAACGTTAAATACTGTGAAAGAAACAATAAAATGAAGAACAGCGACTTGACAAGCCGACTTCTATCCTTGCCCTCTTTCTCACATGCTCATCCTCTGCACAATTTATCCTCATAACATTTTTCCCATTTATGATTTTTTTTTTTTTTTTTTTTTGATAACCCAGGTGTCCCAGCTTAGCCAGACTAAATCCTGGACCTCTAGCCCCCGGCCCCTCAGTGACTAGTGGAGGTAAATCGCAGGTCGTGCCCTTGTTGGTTCCCAGGTTCCCACATGGCTTTTACTCCTTCCCCGAAGGGACCCTCCTCCATGGTTATTACATCACCAAGCTGCTCCAACCCTTCCTCTGGTTAATTTATGATTTTTTATATAGTTGAAAAATATGAAAATGAGAGATGTTGGTTGCTGGTATATAATTAAAAAATGTTGAACCCCAATTTTGAGGGCATCCACTGTCTTGTCCCTAGAGTTTTGTGAGGGAGGTAAAGCGCGGGATGTGCCCCAGCAGACCAGGGAATAAGAGTTGCTTGTACACTACGCCTACAAGGAGTTCAATTCCATGTTTCAGAAATCAAAACCCCACACTGCGGCTGCCAGTAAGGCGTGAGATAACTTCACCCTTGTCCTTTGCACCACTAGGCTATGCCCAAACCTCACTTCTGTTGGTATATAATTATATGTACATAAAGATATTTCCCTCTCACATGGGGGTCACTCGAATATTTTATTCATGTGGGTCCACCCTCATGTGAGAGGATAAATAACCTCATTTAGGATTCTAAGCAAAAATCGTCAAATTGAAAAATTGAACCGATATCGCATTTTAGAAATCTTCAGTTTGATGCCACGTGGACCCGGTCAACGAAATAATTTTGAACCAAATCAAAAATGATTTTGTTTAGGTTTGAGAATTTTAATTACAGTTTAAAACCAAATCGAACCGACAAAAAAATATATAAAAATAAAATAATGAAATTTTTTGAAAATTCATCCAAATTTACAAAATTCAATAGTTTTGTCATTTGTGTGTATTTTTGTCAGTTTCTAATTTTCTAATACAGATATATTATTATCCAATAATCATAATTTATATCTAATAATCTCAAAACTAACATAATCTATCAAATAGCATTTTCCTCTTCAAAATTTAGATAAACTTCAACCGACACCCAACACAGTTTTGAGTCATCGACATCACACACTTATTTTTCAGATTTTTTATGCCTGTTCACAGTTGAATTGAAGTGCATTATACCAAATTGGAGACAAATAGATCATAGACCTTCAGTGATAATATTTGCTACGAATAAGATTTTAGATCAATAATTTTTTGGAGCAAACTAAAGTAAGAATATAAAATTAAAACATTTCGTAACATCATGCAAACATAAATTTGTGTAATTGTTATGTTTAGATATTATAAACAATTGTTTTATTATTGTGATTGGTTATTCTCTTTGTCTAATCAGTATCATTTTTCAGATATGATGATCACGAGGTCATGTTGGACATCATTATATTTTTTGGACCTTATATCTAGTTCAGTGGACTTGTATTGTAACATTATTGTATTGTCTAATGCCTAAAAAAAGTGAACAAATATGAAAAAAATTATGTTTTAGTTTATTGTGATTTTACTTTGGTTTGAGTTTTTTTTTAAACTGTTCAAAATGATTTGGTTTAGGTTTGAGTTTTTCTCAAACTGGTTTAAATGGTTTAGTGTGAAAATCTGTCAAAAATCGGACCATTTACACCCCTACCCTTATGTAATGGAAATTATGTACCATTAGCATTTTCCTACGAAAATATTACACGTAAATTGAAAACTTTTCTTCTTTTTAATCATACATTCTTAAAAAAAAAAAAATTATTCCAAAAATTATAAATCCAAATAATAGTGGTCAAACGAGAGCAAGTTTATGTTATAAATAAAAATGGCACGAGGACTCTTTTATTAACATAAAAAATGAAAATTTAAAGTAAGACAAATTGTTACAACTTCATCCGACCCCACTTTCTAAAACTCATTTTTCCTAAATTTAATGTTAACTATACAATGTTTCAATAAAATAATTTTGCACGAGAATCCTTAAGTTTGTCTTACTTTTTAAGCACACTTTCTCTAAAAAAATTAACTTTTGCAAAACTCATTCTAAGAAAATATCTACAAAATTGAAGTTCAAGCTCCATGTTACATGAAATAATACGAAAGAGTCATTCTGACGTAGTTTGTATTTATAATGGAGAGTTCTTGACAAAAATTATACCCTCTTCTTTTAGTTATGTTTGGCTCATGTTTATAAATTTTAAATCTAATTTTTATTTAAACGTTTTGAGAGATACACAAATAACATTTGCTTACTATTTTATATTTCTATCTCAACAGTTTATAAAGAATTTCTAAACGTGTTACTATTACTCACTAGTAGCAAAATGGATCTACCAATTGAGTGATCGCTGTACCAAAGTAATGTCTGTATGACTGTATTTATTGAATGCCTGAGGTGTGGGTCTTGTTCTTGGTTTTGAAAAATTTATTGAAGCAACTACTTTTGTTGCTTGTATGCCCTCTGAGAACTTACTCCATGTGGAAGCCAAGGGAGAAACTTGTTACTTTTAGAGTGTGTTTGATTGATATGGAAAATATCATTTAGAAAAGAAAATATTTTCCATCTTTTGTAAAAATAAAAACCACATCTACCTAAAGAAAATGTTTTCCTTAAAAACAAGGAAAATTAGGCATATTTTCAAAAGTTGGAAAATCTTTTCCATGAAAAAAATAGCAATCAAACACTCCAAGTAGGAATTTGGATGAAAAACTGATATTTTTCATAAAAAATAAATGTAATCAAACACACCCTTATTGTTTCTTTCACAATATTAAGCCTTGTTTGAGCACCATTTTTTTTTTATTAAAATGCATTTTTCAACAATGACTTGACATTAGTTCAATTACATAATTTTTAATATAATAATATTACACTTAAATTCAAAACAATTCTTTATTTTTTAACCATGCATTCTCCATCATAACACTATTTCAAAAGGTATTTTATGAGAAAATAGGGTTCAAACAACCCCTAAAACTTTTATTTGGCAATCATTACACAAAACTCCTTTTTTTTTAAAATTTATTTTCAACAATACATTTTTACCATAAAATATTTTGTATATAAAGCAAAAATATTTTTCTACTTTTTAACAATATATTCTCCAAAAAAAAAAATTGTTATTCCTAAACTCATTTCTCACCAAAACAAAGTTTTTAAGAAATTTTTTTTATACAACTCTCTCTACCATGCCAAAGTAAGCATTTCACGCGAGGTACAAGTTAAAATTTCTAGCTCTGAACTTGAGAGTCCACTAAACATAACATGAAAATGCTCTAAGCTCTATTTGACACCCATTGTTTAAAAAATTAAAAAGTTTTGAATATTATTTTTAGAAAATGTGTGGTTAAAAAATAATGAAACTTTATTGATTTGTATGTAGAGTATGTTATTGTGTAGATGTATGATGAAGGATAATATTATAACAAAACAATTTAGATTTTTAAAAGTTGTCAAACATGGACTACATGTTGTTCAAATGATAAAAATAATTTCTTTTACTACTTCGTTATAATATAAACTGCAAGTCTTGTAATACTAAAATGATTATTTGAAACATTTTTTATCTTATTATTTAGCCCCTGTTTGGTAATTATTAAAATCTTTTTTTTTTTAAGATTTTGATAAAAGTTCTTGAAATGTATAGTTAAAAAGTTGTGGGACTCATAAAGTATGTGGTTAATATTGATTGTTTGACTTTGACTTAAATTAAAATCTAATTTAAATCAATACCAAACCGTGGCAATATAAGATCAATTATTTTTTTCCACTCAATAAGCCCTTGTTTTGACTCCATTTTAATTTAATACATTTTTATCCTTTTTCATTTCAATCATATATTTCTCCAATAAAATAATATAATACGTAAATTCAAAAAAATTTCTTACATTTTTAACAGCACAATCTTGAAAAATGGGGTTATTCAAAAACATATTTTTATCAAAACTTCATCAAAATGGAACCAAAACAAGGATAACTTGTTGAAAATTAAGAGAAGTAGGACAAATCACCAAAGTTGTAAACCAGCAGTGAGTCAGTATTTGGGAGCAAGCAAATTGTAAATAACATATTTTTTAGCTATGGATACAGAAAATATTTGACAAAATTTTTTCAGATACAAATTCTTATTGATTTCGAGCTCAAAGATGACAGCAAATGCACCTGTATGGACTGTGTGAATTATTCATATTTTTAACTTCCCTGCGAGTCCCTCTGCGCGCCTGCCGCTGTCCCATTTCCCAAATTAAAGCCTTAAAACACTCTTTTTTCAACGCGACTTTGCTTATTGTTGAAGCTTTTTATTTTTCTACGCCCTCATTATTACATGTTCCCCCTTTGTACAAATTATGCATTTCCCAAGTAAGGGAAAAAGCTAATTTCTCGTTTTTTGAGGAAAAACTTCGGATGAACAGAACACGGTTACTGCGCAAACAGTAAAATCGAAAAAAAAAATACACAAAAAAATTAAACCCAAAAGTCATTATTTGGTAAAGATGATTTGAATAGAATGTATAATTTAAGCCTTGTTTGAGTTTCATTCTTGTTAAAAAATATATTTTTAAATAGTATATTGATAAAAAATATATAGTTAAAAAATAAAGAAAAATTTTGAATTTGCGTAAACAATAAAATTAAAAAATACACAAAAAAATTAAACCCTAAAGTCATTATTTGGAAAAGATGTTTTAAATAGTGTTACGTCCCTAACTGAACCATTTTGGAACATCAGGCACACCACTCTCCGAAGTGTCACATGTCCATCCGAAGTGGTTTCGAAGTGACGCCAACTTTTGACGACCTCCAATTTGACGCGCTATGAGGCATAGAGTAGATCCACTGAAGCAACCGAAGAGCCTTTTGACGCTGAAGCGTTAGGCA